ATAATCTTTCTATATTCCTTTAAAGTTTTAAGCCTGTTCTGTTCTTTTTCTAATTCATATCTCACAGCAAGAAATAAGTAAGATTTCTACCTTTTCATTACCCAGATGAGATTTGCAGATTAATCCTTTTATCCAGAGAAAGAAAAAGACAGTAATCAACATGTAAAGAGACTTGATAAACTATTAGAGACAGCAAAGAAAAGAATTAATCTTCAGAAGAGGTAGAGAATAAGATGATGCTTTAATTAAGCTGAAATATTTTTCTGTTAAAGTTATGGTGATGGACAATAGTGTTCTGAAAAGACTTCTGTAATTAATGACAGAGTATATTGGGAGGAATAGAGTAGTACAGAATGTGGATTTTGAGCAAAAAGTAAAGTGATTGTGATACAGTGAGGTGCTGGAATAGAGTGAGGAGTAGTAATAGTTGAAGATTTGAGGCCTTGAGAGGCAAAGAGAAAACTTCTGTTTCCAGGGAAGCTCACAGAGACAGATGAAGAGAACTTTTGCCTTTGAATAACTTATCCTTAAAAATGACATCCCTAGAATCAGGACCCATAAAACACCTCAGAAGGACATCAAATGGGAGGAGAAAATCTGATGACAGATTTCCGGGCAGCTGGCATCAGAGAAATAGAAAGCTATAACAGAAATAGTTTTCTTGTGAGAAACTCTGTAGATTAGCAGAAGAAGACTTCTCTTTCTCTACAAAGACTGATGAAAAGACTCTAGCAGGAATGGGGACTGTTTTAAACACCAAAATTCCAAAGTTTTTTGTCTCTGTGTTGTCATGTGAACAAGGAAATGGTTGGGTAGTGGGGAAAAAGGAGTTTTCTGTAAGTTTTATTCTGGTGTTCTTATTCTTATAGTTTTGTTAATAAACTCTCTTTATTCCTTTTAAGTTTTAAGCCTGTTTTGCTCTTGTTCTAATCCATATCTCACAGCAAGAAATAAGTATGTTTTCTAGTGATTTTTTTAGTTACTGATTTAAAACCATGACACAGGGGTGCAGCAATGCAGCAAACAGAGCCAATGGGAGTTAAGAGAAGGAAGAACATTCTTGGAAGGGGACATATCCTAAGAGCCAAGCCGCCAAGCCCTGTTCCCCAGTCACCTCTCCCATGCTGGACACCCAGCACACAGGCCATAGATCATGGGCTGCAGCCTCACTGGTTCTTCCTCCTCCTCCCTCTCCAGGCTTCAGCACTACAGGACTGTTATATCAAAGACCGGTTCATCACTGAGACCAACTCAAAGGAAGAAAATAAGAAAACGACAGGACTGAAACAAGCAGAAAACTTAAGAAGGAATTTTTCCCATAGAGAGCCAGTACTTAAAACACCCATGAACAGAAATCAGTCACTCCAGGCCACAGAGATCCCGCTGGCAGAGGAGGATCATTCAGCATATTCATTCAAAGTTTCATCTCTCAGCTCCAAAATGGACTAAGCCTGGAGTGAAAACCCCACGAGAGCCAGACCATGATTCCAAAGGACAAGGGGAACACTTTCAGGTTAGGCTCCAGAAGTCCAAGAAGTTTTATTTACTGACAAAGTCCAGAAGGGAAGCAGAGGACAAGAAATGTCTGGTGCTGCTACACAGGTCTCAGGGGGACACGTGAACAGTGACAGTATTTAAGGTGTCCTCTCCTGAATGCTTTTGCTGACAATCAAGAGAAAATGGGGTTGGTGCTTGCACACAGATGACATGCTTCAAATGTTCATGCAAAACATCACATTTAGAGTTCACAAGTGTAACAAAAGTGTGAGTCCCTTAAGCATTTTCCATTCC